AAATTTGTTAATTTTTTTTTGTAATCCATGATCGAATTTTTTGAAAATTTGCCGTACTTTTTTTTTTATTTCTTTTTATCCATGATCGAATTTTTTGAAAAATGATGATTTTCCGAAAAGATGTGAAAATCGTGACAAGGTTTTAATTATTATGAGGTATTAAACCATATTTTAAATTTTTATTGTTAAAGTTTTTGTTGAAAAAATTGTATGTTGCAAGATGATTTATGCAAAAAAATGCATGTTATTATATTTTTAACGTAAAACTGTATTTTTTTATCTGTTGTTCATGGATTTTTTAGTTGGAATGACTGATGTTAGCTGGCTCTGTGAAAAAATATTTTTATTATTAATTTTTTAATGTAAAAAATGTATATTCTTGATAATTGAGTTGTAGCCATGTTTGGAGCTTGCATTTTGTATTATATTATCCTGAATGTTTGTAATTGATATGTACGAAAATATTATTGTCAATAAAGGTATTTTGCAATAGCAAATAACAACAAATATAACTACATGAACTACCGCAACATATTATCACTACACATGGTGATTATTTTTCTTTTTGAACTGTCAGGTTAATTTTATACTTTTTACATCTTAAAACAGTTGAATCATGTCAATATCTGCAGAAGACCCTGCATGGCAACATGGGGTCAGACTTGATCCCAACAAGAAAGATAAAATTATTTGTAATTACTGTCAAAGAGTGATAAGTAGTGGGGTATATAGGTTCAAGCAACATTTGGCAGGGGTTAAGGGAGAAGTTTCTGCATGCACTAGTGTCCCTAATAATGTAAAAAAACAGATGGCGGCAATTCTTAATGCTAACAAAGGTAAAAAAATTGCCAAACATAGGATGAATGAGGAGATAGCTAGTTTATATACACCATCAAGCAGGAATGATACAGAAGAGCAATTTAATAATGATCTAGAAGAGCAATATAATAATGAGCTGGACATGGCCACAAAATTGAATTTACATGAATAATATCAGAGGGAACGTGGGTTTAGAATGCCCGATGGGTCTAACTCAGACATGCATGGTGGGCCTAGCTCAGATATGCATGGCGGGCCCAGCTCGAGCATGTATGGCGGGCCCAACTCAAATATATATGGAGGGGTTGGTGGCAATATGTATCAAGGAGAATCAAATGTTGAAGAAATTGTTTCTAGGTTACCTAGGAGTGTCAGTATTGCAGATCATGGTCGTAAAGACCCATTTCTCTCAAAGCCTAAGTCATAATAGATGACCCTAAAAGGCATGGTTAAAGGTACACGAAACATGTTAGGAAGATATGTTGGTAAATGGTTCTACGATAAAGGATTCCCTTTGATGCAGCCAATAGCCCATATTTTCCACCTATGGTCAGTGCAATCCAGAGTCGGGCCCGGGGTAAAACCCCTGACGGCATATGAGCTCAGTGGACCAATATTAGATGAAGAGGTGGAGGAAGTTAAAAAGTGGATTGAAGAATATAAACAGAGTTGGCCAAGGACAAGCATTACTCTCATGAGTGATGGTTGGTTGAATAAAGTTAGCAAAAAGAAGTTCTTAAACTTCTTGGCTTATTCCCCAAAGGGTACAGCTTTTTTGTCTAGCAAAGACGTATCAGGGACGAAGAAGGATGCAAACTTCTATGTACGACTATATGATCAGATAGTGGAGGAGGTGGGAGATAAGCATGTAGTCCAGTTTATTACGGACAATGCACGTGCATGTATTTCTGCGGGCAACAAGTTGATAGATAAGAGGAAGCATCTAGTATGGACCCTGTGTGCTGCACACAGTATCGATCTTATGTTAGAGGAGATCGGTGAGATCAAAATTGTGAAGGAGACTCTACAGGAAGCAAGGTTGGTGTCGAGATTTATATACAACCACTTTAAAATTTTATTCCTGTTTAGAAAAAACTCTAAAGAAAAAGAGATAATCAGGCCTGCCATAACCCGCTTTACGACCGATTACTTAGCTGTGGACTCCATTCGAGAATCTGAAGGTGCATTAAAAAGATTGTTTACCTGTGAAGAGTGGTTAAATGATCGCCTCTCGAAGTCCAGTACCGGTATAAAAGTGGACAATATAGTCTCAAATAGGCGGTTCTGGTCTCGATGTCCCAGTGTTGTAAAGGCCACTGCCCCTTTGGTCACGGTGTTAAAAATGGTAGATGCTGACAAGAAAGCTACCATGGGTATCCTTTATGAAGGTATTGAGAGGGCGAAATCAGCTATTAGGGAGAAGTATAATTTTGCTAGCAAAGTGATCGAGCTTATAGAAAAGAGGTGGAACACCAAATTTGGACGTCCAATTCATTATGGTAAATATATATTTATATCATTACAATGTTTCAGTTTAAATCATTTTTTTATGAAATTGTAAATGACATTTTTCTACCTATATATTTTTTAGGTTACTACTTTAACCCAAAATTTTTCTATTTGACACCTGAACAACCCCACAAGATTATGGAAGGGGTCATATACATTATTGCAAGGTTGGAGAGAAGCCATCGAAACCAGTAGCAGCAATACAAGAGGTATTATTTAATGTTTGGGTAAGAACTTCATTGAGTTGTTATATTTGTGAGGAATAATGCACTAAAACGTAATATAGTTGTTTTAGCTTGCTATGTATAGGGATGCTATAGGATCCTTCGGAACTAGACTTGCCAAAAATTCTCGAACTATGATGGATCCAGGTTATCCCCTCGCTAATATTTTGTTCATTCATTTATTTAATCTTATGAATTGTTCTTGCCATTACAATGCTTTTTGCATTTTAATCCAGCTGAATGGTGGGAGATATATGGTACTGATGCACCTCACCTAAAGAGGATAGTAATCAAGGTGCTCTCCTAGACATGTTCTGCTACTGGCTGTGAGCGCAACTAGAGTATGTTCCAATGGTTGCACACTACTAGGAGGAATCGACTCGCTTCTGAGAAGCTTCATAAACTAGTCTACGTTCATTATAATTTAAACCTCAAAGAGCAACAAATAAGAAGGAAGCTTGAAGATTATGGGTCGATAGACTTAGACACAATATTTTTCACGGACACAGCAGACTAATGGGTAGTAGAAGAGGAGGAGCTAGTGTTGCACAAGAGAGCGTTCCTTGAGACTATCGGCGATGAAGATCTTGAAGAAAGTGATGAGCAGCATGAAAGAGGAAGCAGCCAGCCAACGTATCCACAATTCGTCAGAGATGTCAGTGATATTGCACCTAAATGAGGGAGAGTGGGAAGGGGTCTAAGAGAAAATGAGAGAGATGAT